ACTCTCTGGCTAATGCCCTAAGTGGATTCTGCTATGACTTTTACCCTAAGTAGAAGGAAAAAAAGAAAATTCTCACCTGAGCAAGCTCCAAACCTGCAGTTTGGGAGCAAAGAGCAGTTACTAAAAGGAGAAACAGTTTGCAAGACATCTCAGTGTTTACTGAGAAATATCCCCCAGCAGACTGAGCCAGACGGAGATTACAGCTCTGATTCTGCCCACGTGGAACGGATCCCAACCAACATTCTCCAAGAGCATGTAAGTATCCAGCAGGAAGAGGCTCCATATGCTCCTCGAAGAAGGCAAGCCTGAACTGAATGCAATTAAAGACTGAGAGTGGACTTCAAGATGAGCTGTGGGTACATCCCTTCTCCACTTTCTTCACCTGCCGACCAGGTGAAGTTAGACCTTCCGGTGTGTGCAGACCTCCCAGTCTTCTCAGGGTTATCCAGCTGGGAAACAGCCAAGGGCCAGAGACAGAGAACAAACTAACAAAGTGGGTGCTGACAGCCTAAGTTTTGAGGCATGATGTGCTCATCCTTTGTTCCTTCCACTCATATAAACCCTGCAGCAGTTCCTCTCACCTCTCCACTCATCCATCTCTATCGTACTTAAGCAGCTCTTCACAAACTGTTGTTTTGTGTATATTTTGGTCAATGACAATTCCTCTCAGGTCTTTGAGGTCACATATGGAGGTGAGCAAGAGCCAACACTCAATGGGTTTTTATGGGAATCTAAGAGGAAAATCCCAAGGACTTTCCCTTTCCTACTGTGCCCCCCCCCCTCAAAAAACAAAAACAAAAAAAAACCAAAAAAACACATCCAAAAAAAAAAAAAAAAAAACCCTCAGCCAACTGCTCTCTGAGTCACTTGGCTGGATTTGGGTGCTTCGATGCAAGACACCAAGGATTTTCAGGGAGGGATGACAGCCCTAGCAGCAACTCAAGGGCACCAAACACACCTTCTGCCTTTCCCCTGGGAGTGTGGGGAGTGTTGGGATGGGAGGGAGGCTCCAGCTCCGTCCCCAGTGCTCCCTCTTAGCCAGGGCTGGCAACGATCACACATTTGCCCAAAGGGAAGGGGAGAGCTGGTGCCAAGGGAAGCCCTGACACGAGGCAGGAGCCAGCAGGAGCTCTTGTGTGGATAAGGCTGCACGCCTCTTACATATCTTGCCCTCCAGGTCTTGCCTGGAGATCTGCTGGGAAGAAAGGGACAGGCTCCTGCATGAGGAGAAGAACAAGGGGAATTCAGGACCTGCGCTCTAACTCCTGTCCTGTTTCCTCCTCCTTTGGCACCCAAATCTCTCTGTTCCTACTTTTGCCCTAAATCCTCTCATGCTTCCTGGCACCGGAGCCCATGACCAGCACAAGCAAACAAAACCGAGATGTCTCCTCTAACAAAGGGGATCTGTCCTAGTCACCGGTGGCACAACGAAAACAGAGAGCTTGGCATGTGACTCTCCAAAAACAAAACCGAAAAAGACATGTTGGGACACAGATAAACCCAAACTGCCAGGACAAGCAGCTGCAAACAAACATCTGGAGCAGATGCCATCTGACTCATTGCAGGGTGGGGCATGAAAGGGGCTCATAACTCCAACCAAAATTAGAGTCCTATCTAAGGGAAGCCAAACTATCTGGCAGACAGCAATGGGGCTGGAGCAGGAAGGATCTGCCTTTTCTGCTGAACCAGAAGGAACCTGGTGAGCAATAGTGCTGCATGAAGCCACATGGCACGGTCAAMAGGGTATGGAACACATGGCCCTAACCTGCTCTAGCCCTTGCAACAAGGCCTGGACATAGCTCTGCCTTTTACCATCCACCCTTTCAAACCAAAGCCCAGCAGTGAACAACTCCATGCTGACCAGGAGCTCTCTGCTGCTCTGGTTTCCTTCTGTTTGTCCCATATTAAAATATATATAAACATATCCTCTCCATTTGTCACTTCTTTGAGATGAGGCCTGGACAGACTCTTCAGCTCTGCACCTAGACTATGGCATGATTCGCTATTAGAAATGGGACTTCTGCACTGACCCAGAYAGAAAAGCCTATTAGATAGAAGAGTATTGGCAGGCATCCTGGTCTCCTCCCAGTCACTGAAGGCAAGTATGCTGCAAGAGTAGTGCAGGATTATACTTCATGATGCAAAACTTGCTCTAAGGATCTGCTCTATGGACAGTGATGTTCTCATCCTACAGCTCCAGCACTTGGGGGAGGTCACCCTGTATGTGCATGACTTAGGAGGCCGTGAAAATGATGAAGCTTCCTTCATATGTTGAGTCATTCCACCATCAGGAGAGGAAGCAACGGATTGCAAAGATACAGAGGTGGTAACTAAATTTATAAGTAGGATTCATTTAGATGGGAGGAAAAAAAAATCAAAGTAGAACATGTTGGAAAATTCTGTTCATTAGTTTTCTTTAAAAAGTTTGAATGATCCATTTCACATTCTCATTGAAATAAACTAGTTCCTCAAATCTTCAATGAAAAAAAGGACTACTTTCCCTCGAAAAACTTTATGTGTGGAAGAAGGAGTTTAATTAGCACCAGTAGAAAAGTTAACTGGGTGTTCAAAAGGAAGGATGCCTCTTGGTGGAAGTCTCTTCTTAACATATCACCTGGAAGCAGGAAGCCAAGCAATTATTGGGATAAATATGTTTGCAGGGTATTTTGTAACTGATGCCATAGATACAGGGGCAGATCTATCAGGATTTCAGTCGTGTGAGTAATGTAGCAGACAAAAGCTTTGCAGCGGGGACAGGCTTAATCACCCCTCCCTTAGGGAACTAAGAAGTCAACGTTTGGATCCCTTATTGTCAAGGGAGACACTTTCAGAAGATAATTCACCTCTTGTACTATCAAATGGGATACACCACACTCTGAATCACCTTTCTCTGCAGGTGAGAAGATCTGCTCAGATAATTCCTGTCTTATGGATAACAAAGTTAAGAAAGAGAAATCCCAGCATAAGTGCCTAACTCATGGATCCTACCCACTGTCTGCAAAACAAATCCCCACTAAGAGTATCGATAAAGTTTCCGTTTCTCCTTCTCCTGGCTACCCAGGAACTAGAGGTTTAGGATTAGCAATAAACAGACTGGGAAATCATCATCTGGCATGTGCACGTGTACCAGGAAGCTGAATCTCCCATCTGGCACCATTCACAGCAGTATCACGAATATTATTAGTAATAGTCCTAGCCATCCTAACTTATATTTATATATACAAAAATAGATCCACAGAATTCTACATAAAGAGGTGGCTGAGTGATTGCGATGGACAAGCCTTGGATGGCAGGGACATGGAAGAAGCCAAGGGACATGTTGCATAAGTTTTTCCAGGGAAGCCGTCCACTTCCATCCGTGCGCACGTCTGTACTCAAACATCTCAGAGGAAGGCAAGGCAGGCAGGGCCAAGCACTAGAAAATCAGCCTGGCTGAGGTCAGCAGGGCTCACAGCTGAATGGTGGCATCGCATCTCCACGGGCAGCGATGGGGCTGAGTCCAGCTCCGAGAGGAGCTCCCTCAACTGCAGGGACTAGGTTTGGCTTATTAGAGTCACAGCAGGTAAAGCACAAAGCACTGACCCAGATCCAGGTTTCCTCCTTGTCTGCAGATGGCCCGGCCTGAGGGGTCAGTTCAGACCCGTATCCAATTTGCAGCAGGWGGCCACCTTGCAGAATACCCTCAGCAATGCCAGCAGGCTTGCCAGCTGGAGGGACACTGGTCTTGCTGTGACATGCCAAYGGGCCAAAGCTAGGCGAGGAATCAYGGGGAACCTCTATGGGGAGGGAAGATCAGGCTCACATCTGTTAGAGAGCCCTTTCTACCCTCTCCCCCAGCCAAACRCAGGAGTCTCAGAAGTCCCCAACGGAGAACGTCCCAGTATCTCTGCCAAAGGACAAGGAGAGCATTGAGAGGATCAGCTGCTGACAGTTCAGCTTGGAATCTTTAAAGTGAATTCAGTGCTGGTGGAAGGTACCAAATCAGCAGAAGGTTTTTACAGATTTGGAGAACAGAATGGCAGCACTAAGCCCTATTCCTGTCCCCTCGGTGTACCTCATCCGATCCTGGAAGGGAAGAGAAGCATCGCAGCTTGCTCTGCTCCTGGGGCTTGGCCATGGAGCTGTCGTGGGGGCTGCAGCAGTTGTTCAGTGACGGGAGGGAGCTTCTCAGCTTAGCAGGATGCAGCACTGCCCCAGTGAGAGCTCCTTGGCTCCAGCCCTTTAGCACTGCACCTAAAGGCATTAGGAATTGAATGGCAATTTCAAAGCAGATCCTTGCTCTCAGCCAATTCCCGCAGGGACCTTCCCTTGCTGCAGCCAGGCTGCCTCCAGTACCMCCCCTGCCCATGCCAAAAGGTTTCTAAACCTTTCCACACCTTCTCTTTCTCTTTGAGATGGAAAAAAAAAATAAAAAGCCACTTCATCTTGAAGCTCACTTGGTTCTCCCAGTGACTTCCACCTGCCATTCAGCAGGACCCTGCAGCATTTCCATCCCTTTGGGAAAGCAAACCTACCACAGTGGGAGAGGAGACTCTCAGAGAGGCCACCCRTAAAAAGTGCCAAAGAAAAGCGGAAAACCATGTTCCAGTTCCCGGAGTACTCTCGTGTGGGGATGCATGAACCCATCTCTTCCCAGTATGGCCCATGCTGGAGCACACGGAGAGCTTCTAAGGCCTTCTGAGGTCAGAGTCCTGAGGCGTGTGCTCCTCCCTCGAGAAGACCCTTCCCCACGCAGCCCCGGCCGGAGGAGGTATCCACGGCCCGCTCTGCCCACCACCGTCCCTCGCCGGCATGTGCAAACCCGCGCGCGCTGCCACGAGCTCCCCTTGCCTCCGACCGCTCCCGGCACGCCGAGGGACACCCAGTTCGCTTGTCCCATTGCCGGGGTGGTGGCGGTGAGAGTTGCAGGGCTGGTGGGACGGAGGGAGACAAAGGAGCGGAGGGAGGGAAGGGAAAGGAGGAGGAAGAGAAGTAAGGCCCGCTTCTCCTCCCCAGGAAGGTCATACGGGCTTATCCAGCGTCTTGGGGAAGGCCGTGCCGCTGGAGGTGGAGATTTTCCTGCAGACTGTGTTGGTGTGGTTCTGGCAGCGGCAGCCGGGACGTTTGAGGCTGTCGTAACCCCGCTGGCAAAGTTTGAGGCACGCCAGGGTCGGAAAGTAGCAGCAGAGGCAGGGCATGAGGAGGGAGAGGACGCTCATGGCGGCCCAGCGGGCGCAGCACGAGCCCGGCCCGCAGGAGCAGGGGTCGTCGGCGCAGGTGTCCTCGTCGTCCGTGGAGCAGTGGTAGAAGAGGCCCTTGACGCAGCAGAGGCAAGTCCCGTAGTCGAGGAGGCTCTCGGGGGAGCAGAGGCAGCGCTGGTTGCAGAGCCAGCAGGAGGGCAGGCTGCGGGCGGCCGTGCAGCGGGCGCACTTGCAGCGGCCGCACTCCTCGCAAAGCAGGAGGTGCCCGGCGTGCAGCGCCGGCTTCTCGGCCGCCTCCTTCAGCGGCGCCTCGGCCGCCTTCAGCTCRCCGGCCCTGGGCTGCGTCCGGATGAGCGAGTGGCCGGAGTGGGAAGGCGTGAGGCTGCTCAGGAGCCGCTGCTCCGAGGCTGTGGTGCTTTGGGACACGGAGCTGGCCGTGCTGGAATGGCTCATGTGTTGCTGCAAAGGCGGCATCGGGTGCTGTTGGCTGTGGCTGCGGTGCAGGTCCTGGAAGGTGGAAGACAGCAGGCGGTCCTGAGGCCACTCTTGCTTGTACGGTGCCTGGGAGAGCGACGGATTGGAGTGAGCTTGCTGGAAGCACGCAGCCGGTCTCTCCACGTAGTTGTTGCTGGCACGGATGGAGCGGATTTGGTCGATGGACAGGACCTGTTGGAAGTCCTCAGCAGGCGGGTCCATCGTCTCGTCACAACTGAGTTCGGCCGCACTGGAAGAGAGCTGCATTGCCGGGAGTGAGGAGACTCTGCGGCATCAGGGCACATCTAAGAGTCCTAAAGGATGGGGCAGGGAGACAGAGAAAGCATTTGTGTTACTATTTGATCCATCCATGCACGTCAGGAAGTGACGGATGACTGGAGAGCTACTCCAAGCAGGCAACAAGATTAGTTGTTTCCAACAGCAGTATACAAGGTACTCCTCAGCCTGAGAAGACTCAGGCAGGACATTTCCAAAAGACAAGGTCCATAAGATCTGCCCCTTCAAGCAGGTGGACATAATATCTCCTTGTGTTGTTGAGCTTTCCACGTCCTTCCACAGAAGTCCTTCCTATATTTTATATATATATATATATAAAAATATATATATATATATATATATAAAAAATATATATATGAAATACATATCCTACGTATTTCAAGGACTGGCGGGATCTGCCTGACCATCCTCCCTCTCCTGCCTCACAGGCAGTGCCAGCCTTTCCTAGAGGAAGGCAAACCTAAAGCTGTGACTTACGTAGAGCTCAGCAACAGGACCAAGAACAGCATCTCCTCCAGCACAGGAAGGTCCCATCTGGGGCTTCCTAGCACACCCAGTACAGGCTCTGGTGCCACACGGCATTGGACAGTGGCTGGATTTCAGGTGTATCGGGAAGGAGGTGAACTGAGCACGCATTTAGCTTCAGGCAGCATCAGAAACAAGCTGCACCTAATACAACAACCTGTGTTTGACCAGGGACTGGCCAAGCCCACACATCTCCATCACTTTCCATGGCAGTACTCAGAGAGATCTTAGTCCTTTTGAGGAAAGAGGAGAGAGGTACATGCAAGGTGAAGCTATGCCTAGCAGCACACAAGCACACAGCAAGTAGAAAGCACTTTTTTCATGCCATACACCAGCCACATAGTGGGGGAGAGTTTTCCCCCAGCATTTCAATATGAGGTGTGTGTTTTTCTGTGGACAAAGCCATTCTCMTCCGGCAGGTCGAACGTGTGATCCATAAGTGATGTAGCTACCGTTACAGTGCCCAGGCCCACCGGAAGAATCTGTTTCCATAGGGAGGTCCACGCTAGCGTTACAAGTGGTCAGCAGGCCGGATAGCCAGCAGCRGCTTTCCAGTAGGTGAGGGCTCGCAGGTAGAATCTGCTCATGCAGCAGAGAGAGGCAGAGGGAAGATTGATTTTCATTAGCTAGGCTGACCTTGAAGAGCAGGGTAAAGCAAAGGCAACTTCTTTTGACTGGTAAAGTAAGAGCTGACCTGTTCCATCCCCCTCTCCGAAAAGAGAAGGCAACGGATCTGATTATATTTGACTGCTTCCTTGCATGGGGCCCATCTGCCTCCCTGTCTGGGTCATCTCAAGAGAGATGTTTATCCCGTCCAAGAAGATACAGACAATGAAAAAGTTGTTCTCCCAGTGTGCCCATGACTGACTTGGGAAACTATTTATTTAAGAGAAAAAAAACAAGGGGAACCGGGAAGGTACAGCTGCCCAAGACAAGCTTCTGTGAGAACACTGCCAGGATGGGAATGGGCCACGGAGGCAGGACACCCTCCTGTCAGTGCTTATCTGCAGACAGAGCCCTACACGTGGAGAGCTCCTACTGCAGCAGAAAAGAACTGGTGAAAAAGAACTGTCTGGACCTCTGAAGAGATACAAGATATAGCTGCAGGACAGAAATCCAGGCAGCAAACTCAATGGGTTCTTACATCTCGTGGGACCCCCTATCATCCCATTTCTGCGGGATGCTGCTGATTTACACCCAGTGTTGTAGGAACTCCTCACATCTGAGTGTCTCTCTCCTCTGACCTGTGCATGGACTCCAACAATGAGACTCAGGGCTCTGGAAAAGTTCCCATGTGGAGCTAGCTAGGACCCGAAGAGAGAGACCTGGGCAGCAGAGGATGCCACTGCAGTGGAAACAGTGGAATTTAGAGGTAGACAGCACTCAAAGGGCAAGGCTAGTACTCTGTGCAAGCCTGGGACAAGGAGCTCGGGAAACACAGGGAGACCTGTGAGATCAGGCTATGCTTCGCAGTGAGAATGAGACCTGGGATGCTGGAAGCGGGAATGAGGTCCGAGGGAAGAGGCAGGGAGAGGAGCCGGGAATCAGGCCGTGCAGTGTGTTGCAACATGCACACTTTGAATCTGAGAACTAGGTTGGACCCAGCATCCCAGGTGTGAAAGGCCCCTCCAGAGGACCCTTGGACTAAAGAAAGGCCTGCATGGTCCTGGACCCATGATTCATTGACACAGGGCTCAGACTCCAACCCAGATTGGCCAAAGTGCAAAGATGCCCTTCTGGGACCTGCGGGGATGTTAGCTGCTATGGTCATCAGGAACTGAAGGATCTGCCAAGCACCAGGAGCACTGGGACTCAGACAGCTCAGCAAGATGAGAGAGAAGAGGGACTGAATGACCAGAGCTGTCCACAGATGGAAATGCGTGGAAGAGATGGCAGCAAGTGTAGGTAGAGGACTGGGATGGCAGGGGATGGTGCAGGACAAGGCTGGCTCTGCCAGTGCTCATCACTGAACCGGTACCTTCCCCCTGCTCCCTGTGGAGGAGCCCGAGCCCTGTCCCTTTCCCCGGCCGCCCTCCAGTGGTCTGTCCGTCTGTCTGTCCTCAAGGTATGGGTGACCATGGGGACGGACAGGGGGCCCGGGCCATGTGTCCCCTGACTTCTCCTCACACCCTTGCGGCAAGGCAGGGATGCCAGCCCAGGGAGCTGGGTGAGCTTTATGGCCACCGGCAGCCCCAAACACATAAAGTTCGTGTGATAATGGGCCAGGAGAGGGATCATAAAAGCAAATGATTTACAGGCATGTTCAGCTCTGGAGGTGGCTGCGAAACAGGAGAGGGATTCACCCAGTGCCCAGGTGGGAGAAAAGGGATTTTCCCATGCGATCCCGTCAGAGGGACCCTGCCCTGCTTTACCCAGCTGCTGGAGTCTGGAGCAGCCCGAGCTCCCCAGCTGCACTGCTGGTCGCAGAGGACCCGCGTCCATGGGAGGGGACTACAGGATGAAGCTGCCCGGGGAGCCCGATCCTGCACCCCGCTGTGCACACAGCCCACGCGTGGTCCTGATCTCCCAGCTTCCCAAGCACTCTAGCCCCGGCAGCCCCAGCCCCGCTGCTCACCCAGCCCGTGTGCGTCCAGGATCCCCATGCGTCCAGAATCGTGCGTGCAACCCACCCGGGACTCGTGGCAGGAACCAGACCAGGCAGCCGCTGTGCACACTTCGTCCCCAGCCCCGCCACTCTCACGGCATGTCATTCAGATCCAGGTCCAGCTCGCAGCCCCACCGCGGGCACAGCCCTCGCATGGCACGGATTGGACCCCACGCACCCAGCCCGGGACCCTCCAGCCCCACTGTCCGCACAGCCCACGCGCGCCTCGCCTCCACGCCGCAGCCCACGTGCAGCCTGGACGCGTCCCCCCTTTCGGCGCCCTCAGCCCACGCGTGTCCAGCACTTCCAGCCGCTCGGCGGTCGGGGCGCGACCCGAGCCGCCGTGGGCGCCGCGTGGGCAGGAGGGGCACGTGCAGGACCCCCCGGGCGCACTCACCGCGCCGCCGCCGCCGCCGCCGCTCCATCCGGCCCGGGCAGCGCC